GCCAGGAGGGGGCAGAGAGGGGGGATGAGTCTCTGGAGCCAAGGCCCCAGCGCCAGGCCCCGAGGGAATGGCCTCAAGCTGCCCAGGGCAGGGTCAGGCTGGCTCTGAGGAAGGATTTCTGTGCAGAAGGGGCTGTTGGGCGTTGGAATGGGCTGCCCAGGGCAGGGGGGAGTCCCCGGGATCCCTGGAGGGGTTGAAGAGTCGGGCTGAGCCAGCGCTGAGGGATCTGGGGGAGTTGGGAACGGTCAGGGGGAGGGTCATGGTTGGACTGGAGGAGCTGCAAGGGCTTTTCCAACCGAGATGATTCTGTGATTCAAGAAGCTCATCCTGTAGAGGAAGCTGGTATTGCTTTTGAGGAATTAAATGAGCTTGTTTCTCTCTGCTTCACAGCTATTGATTTTCTCGAGAAAATACTGACATTTAACCCTATGGATCGATTAACGGCTGAGATGGGTCTGCAGCATCCTTACATGAGTCCCTATTCATGCCCCGAGGATGAACCGGTGTCTCAGCATCCGTTTCGGATTGAGGATGAGATTGATGATATTTTACTGATGGAAGCCAACCAGAGCCAGATGTCTAACTGGGACAGGTATGCTACCCAAGACTGGGCCAGAGACCAGCTACCGGCTTAAATTCTTTAGGCAGAGCTTGACTGCTGAGTCTCTGACCTGCTTGTGATTGGGTTCAGTCACACATGTTCCAGACCCACAAAACACGCTTGTTTTTCCTTTTTGATGCCATATTGTAATTCTAGATCAAGTTGGCACCTTGCTGAAGCCAACAAGAAGTTCATCATTTTTTTCCACAGGGCATCGATGTTGAGTCTGCACGTTCCAGTTACTGAGTATCTTTCTGCTCTTGGTTTTATTCACAGCCTACATTGTCATCAGCTGACTTACATCTGTTTAAGTGACACCACGGTTCTTCCCTCTGTCCCTATAATATAAAATAATGTAATTCTTGTACCTTTTGGGGACCGGGCCTGATTTAGAGCTCTATATTTATCACTTCTCAAGGAGCATAAGCCCCAGAGGTGACAGATCCGAGGGCTTTAAAAAATCCTTAATTGTGTTGACTTTTAAATGGGTTGCTGAAAGCCGTAGAGGAAGTTTAGAGCAGATAAAAACCTTGAGCTGAGGTCTCGTGTCCTAGACAATCACCCCAGTTACTAGGCCAGTCCCAGTACTGGGGCGGGTAGGACAAAATAAGTAGATAAGAATTAACTAGGTTCATTTTTCTATAGAATTAACTAGGTTCATTTTTCTATAGAGCTCCTTCCAGCTGAGCAGGGTGAGCTGGCTGAGGATATCTGCAGCATTGTTCCTCTCTGCATAGCAATTAAATCCCCTCGCCTTCTTAATCTGCTGTATTTCACCAGCATTGAAAAATTAATCTAAAGAAATCCCTCCTCTTCCCTGTTATTAAACTCCTGGGTGAACAAGGGTGGAGCCTGGGGGGGACAATCAGGTGAATTAGGTAAAGAGGAAAGCTGGAGGCTTTTCTCAGGATATTTATCTTCAGCGCACCCCTGCTGGTTAAAATCCCCAAAGCAGCAAATCAATTGGCTGGAGGTCACCTTGTCACCCTTTGATCTCGTGGCTTTTACATTTCTTGGTGTGACACAAGAGGTGGGACCTAGACTCTCGGTCCTGCCGGCCACCTGGCGACATCTGCGATAGGGCTGTAAATTTTGCAAACCGAGTGTTTTAGAGACAGGGAATGATTTTGCCTGGGTGTTGTGGGACACCTGAGGGGCATTTAATGGCTGGGTGTTGCATTTAAGGTAATAATTTAGTAAGAGATGAATCCCTTTGTGTTCTAGCCAGTCCTCAGAGACTACAGAATCACAGAATCCCAGAATCATCTGGGTTGGAAAAGCCCCTGAAGCTCCTCCAGCCCAACCATGACCCTCCCCCTGACCGTTCCCAACTCCCCCAGACCCCTCAGCGCTGGCTCAGCCCGACTCTTCAACCCCTCCAGGGATCCCGGGGACTCCCCCCTGCCCTGGGCAGCCCATTCCAACGCCCAACAGCCCCTTCTGCACAGAAATCCTTCCTCAGAGCCAGCCTGACCCTGCCCTGGGCAGCTTGAGGCCATTCCCTCGGGGCCTGGCGCTGGGGCCTTGGCTCCAGAGACTCATCCCCCCTCTCTGCCCCCTCCTGGCAGGGAGTTGCAGAGGGCCAGGAGGTCTCCCCTCAGCCTCCTCTTCTCCAGACTGAACCCCCCAGTTCCCCCAGCCGCTCCCCAGCAGACCTGTGCTCCAGACCCTGCACCCCTTCAGATTAGAGGGGCTGGGGGTGGCTGGACTTAACTTCTAAGAGTTCTGCCAGTTACGGCCGTGACTATAGGCCTGACACCAGATGCACGCACAGCCCATGTGCTGTAGATCTGGTTGCACTCGAGAAGCAGTCTGGGTCATGAATAATATGGTTTATTGTTACACATCATCTACAGATTCTTTGAGATTGTGTACGATAAATGCACAAACTGCAGGCTGGCTCTATAGCTTTACACACACACACAAAAAAATTGCAATCACACACACTTAATTCCTGGGTAATCTCTTGGCATAGCCAAGGGCCCAAATCTTACCAAAAGGCATCCCTTCTTGGGGCAGAGGAGCACAAACCCATCGATCTGTCCCTCCAGTTTGGTATCAATTATTGTCCCTCCGATAAAATAAATACAAACTCTGGGTAGTATTTATTTGTGCGGGTGGGACTGTGGCCAAGCCACTGTATCTTGAGTAACGACACAGCACACTCCTCAGTGCAAGGTGTGCGCTGGTTTTGTGGGAAAAGAGGAAGAACGAGAGATAAGGGCTGTGGAGTTCTGCAGAACAGTCCTCGAGAGAAGGGAAAGAACAGGAGATAAATCCGCTTGGTCGTGTCAAATGTTCCGTGAGAAAAGGGGAAGAAGGGGACCACACGGCCTTCACCTCGCTTCCCGTTCCTCCTCGGTGCCACAGCAACACAAATCACCGGATCTTCATCCTGTCCTGGGTTTGTTCTGGGCATCACGTGTTAAGGAAACGGGTGTGTTGCAGATTTTTCATCCTTTTGCTTTTCCCACACTTCCAACACTGGGACATACCCCAATACCTGGGGTAACACAGCTTTTAAAGGCAGCTTGTTTAGGAGTAATTAGATGTAAATTAGATGTCACTTTGACAACCGTGGCTAAGAATGGGTGTTGCTGGATAATTGCAATCAAGAGAGTTCAACTGGCTTGAGAAACTTTTACTTGCCAGGGTGACCCTTCGGGGATGCTCTTGGTCCATGACATGAGAGTAAACTGGTGCTTTCCCATGTCAGCGGGGATTGAAATTAATATTTTTTTTACTTTTATGCCGAGAAACAAGGAGCACTCACACTGGGGCTGCTTCTCTGGGGGCTGAAGGACGGTTTGATTATTAATGGTGTTAATCACATTTTAAATCCAAGTGGAGGGACGGTGATGAAGGGTTAAATAAGGGGGCCAGTTGGTTTGGTGGTTGGGCTTTTTTATTCCCACTACCAGTCCTGTCTGACTCTTGATAAATTACTCATTCCCCCTGCCTTTTTTTAACACACACAAAAGGTCTCTAATAGGAATAAGAACATAAAGATCTGGAGGTAAGCGGCGTATTAGCAAGAAAAAGGTAAAAATAGCAGCAGCAGCATGTGTGTGTGTTTGAGCCCTGTGGTTTCTAACAAAGCCCTGTCTAATAGCAGCGTGTCTTTCGCAGGTATCACGTAAGCCTCTCGTCTGATTTGGAATGGAGACATGATAAATATCACGACATGGATGAGGTTCAGCGGGATCCCCGGGCGGGGTCGGAATCCATCGCTGAAGAAGCACAAGTTGATCCACGGAAATACTCCCAGAGCAGCTCGGAGAGGTTCTTGGAGCTCTCCCACTCATCCATGGACCGAGTATTTGATGCTGATTGTGGGAAATCATGTGATTACAAAGTGGGGTCGCCTTCCTACTTGGACAAATTGTTGTGGAGAGACAATAAGCCCCATCATTACTCAGAGCCCAAGCTGATTTTAGATTTATCCCACTGGAAAAGAGCAACCATAGCACCCGCAGCTGAGCTCTCTCTGGAAGAAGAACCATCCAACCTCTTTCTGGAGATTGCTCAGTGGGTGAAGAGCACGCAGGTGGGTCTCGAGTGTCCCGGTTCTCTTCCGGAGATTCAGGAACGGAGCCTGCCATCTTCTCCTCACCATCTCCACAAAGAACCCACGGAGGTGAACGCTGAAACAGACCCCGAGTTTGACTTGGACGTCTTCATCTCCAGGGCACTGAAACTTTGCACAAAACCCGAGGATCTTCCGGAAAACAAGCTCAGTGACATCAACGGGGCCTGCATATCTGAGCACCCCGGTGAGATTGTACAAACAGAGGTGTACCAGAAAGAACGATGGTGAGGAACCCACACCCGGGAAACCCCGCTCTATCTCCCTGTTCCTCTCTCTGATGGTGTGGCCATTGCCCGGGGCCGAGTGGCTTCTGTCTGTCATTGAGCATCAGTTTTTTTATGCTATACCGAATGCCTTTTTCTGAAAAGGCAAGCACAAACCACATGCCCCTTTTGATGCCTTAGAAATACCTTTAAGGGAATCAAGAGGTGTGAATGAAATACTGAGTTTCTTATACTGCCTTAACACTCTTGCCTTGCAATCTCTGGGACCTGTTTGGAACTTAAATGTACGAGGGAAAGGTGACAGTACATGGTAAGTTTACAAACAGAAGTCAAATCAACTTCTTTTCCTTTCTTTTTCTATAGCATCTTAAAATGACGAGGACAAAATCAGCATTTTCATTATGGTCAGATACCCTCCTGGTTTGACGGGTTCCCAAAACACCCAACTGTGAGCTCCTCTGAGGCACTCGTGTGAATACAGGCGGTACGGAGCCAGCAGAGAATGGAACTAGAGGTAGAGTTTGGCCACCAGCCAGAAAAGAACTCTTCAAGAATGTTAATGGGGCAGAAATTCGACCTACAAAATACGGGCCACTTTGGGATTTTTATTTTTTTCTGATTGGAAGACAAAATTCGTGCTAAGCGCGTTCTTGTTTGGTTTCTCGCACGTAAATTCTCCCTCCTGTTGCACGGGGTAGATCGGAGCTCTCCGAGTGCTTAGGAGGCCCCCACACGATGCGTTTCAGTGGAACAACCCGGTGCTGTGGGTCCTGTCTTGAGGCCCAGCAGATCAGCGAGTCCTGTCGAGAGCTAGAAACGGGGTGTCCCACGGTGTGATGCTGCCTGGCACCACCAGCTACACAGACTCAGCAAGGGCGTCCACCTTTGCGAATTAAAAAAAAAAGGAATGAAATGCTACTATTTTACCTTCTGACGAAGATGCTGTGAAGAAAACAGCAGTTCCTGTGGCGTTAGACACGTAACTGGCCACTCTGCTTCTTTGGAAGATGCTGGTGTCAGCAGGCAGCCGAGCGTGGTTTGTAAATAGACACAAACACAACTGATCTACTGTAACTTCTGTTTTCATCCACACTTCTGAGCACCTTAATAATTAATCAGCTAACAAGAGTTTGTATATGGGAGAAATGTTCTATACTTATATTTAATCCAACTCGGCAGGTTTTTAAATGGAAAATCTGTAAATAGTGTCATAAAAGCCAGTCTCCGCTTCCCTTGCTGTTGTGTCACTGTGCTCTCCAGCACACTGGCACTACTATCACTTGTAAAAGAGAAACTACTGTACTTAGTAACTCCAAGGTCTGTATTTAACTGTTGTTCCTGTATGAATGATTTCTCCCCTTTTAACAAGCAGTCTACTAAATGTTTTGAGACGTGAAGAAAGCTCATTTGAGACTCAGACGGTAACTAACAGCAGCATTTATTGTACTAACCCTGGTTTCTATTCTTGGTGGGATTAGGTACAGGTTTAGCCGTAGGAGAGCTGTGCTAGGCCTAAAAATTGTTCTTACTGTGAAGGTCTCTCCTTTGGCTGATGGAAATGCTGTTACTCCGGCTGATTAGTGGCATAGGCTGCCGGCTGCAGGGATGGGATGGGATGGGATGGGATGGGATGGGATGGGATGGGATGGGATGGGATGGGATGGGATGGGA